TGGTCTTTTTCTTTTTCTGGTAAAGTTTTGTTTAAAATTTTTCAATATTTTCTGCTGATTTTATTTGCTTGCAATAATGAGACAGTCCTTTTCCAATATCTGATTTGCAATACGAACAAATAATTATTGAACTTGCACCTTCTTTACTTATAAATTTTGAGTAGAAATATCACTCTCTTTGTTTATTACTATGTGTGTATATAAATCATTTCTGGCTGCAGCAAGTAAACCACTGTCTTCAGTAATGTTAGAAGTCAATCTTTTTTTTTTTTTTTTTTTTTTTTTTTTTTTTAGTTTTTAGTGTACAATGTTAGTCGTGATACAAAATAATATAAGTCGTGATATATAATAATATAAGTCTGATACATATATAATAATATAAGTCGTGATATATAATAATATAAGTCTGATACATAAAAATATTTAAGACTTCTACAAGAAAAGAAAAAAAAAATGAGTATATATATATATATATATATGTATATACAATTCAGCGTACTAACAATATAAGACTAGGTTTCCGAAAGAAGATCAGAAGGATCTTATCACCGGAACCTTAAAAAAGACATAATGCAAAGATTTAACATAATGCAAATATGCAATATACTAATACAATATAACATAATGCAAATATGCAATATACTAATACAATATATCATAATGCAAATATACAATATACTAACATTTTAATACTCAATATGCTGAAGATTTGAAAAATACATTTTACATAAATTTTTAGTAGAATTTTAGAATGTTGTCCATACAGAGAATGAAGTTTTTTAATTTAGTTTTAAAAACAGGAAGAGTAGTAGAAGGGTCAAAATTTGGTAATACTATTTTATTCCAAAGATGGGGTGCACGATATGCAATACAGAATTGGTTGAACTTCGTTTTACAAAATGGTTCATTTAGAAAACTATTACTTCTTAATGTGTATTTATTTATTGGTTTTAAAGAAAAAAGGTCATTGAAAACAAATAAAGATAAATCGTTTTTCCACATAAAAGTAAAACATAAAACATTAAATATGTTAAGTTTATAAACATCTAGTACATTCATATAATCAAAAAAATATTTCGAACGTGAAAAGCGATCCGCATAATTAACTACACGGATTGCATGTTTCTGACGGCGATAAAGATGTTGTAATTTACTTTTCTCCGTACTTCCCCAGGCTATGATTGCATAATTTATATAATTATGTATAAATGAATAATAGAGCTGGGTTAAGTTTTTTTTGTTTAGATAATTTCGAGCTTTGTATAAAATGCCAATATTTTTAGAAACTTTGGTGCTTATATGATCAATATGCTTTCTCCAAGTAATATTTTCATCAAGATAAACACCTAAGAATTTTATAACAGTATCTCTTTTTATTATAGTTTCATCAATGTAAATTTGAGGCATATTATTTGTTAAAAATCGTTTTTTTGCGCAGGAGTGAAAAATAATCCATTTTGTTTTGTTAATATTTAAAGTTAATTTATTAGCTTTGAACCAGTTCGAAATGTGTTTGAGTTCTTTGTTTGTAGTTGAAAAGAGTTCATAAATATCAGTATGGGATAAGAAAAGATTAGTATCATCAGCGAACATTATACTTTTCAATTTGGAAGCTTTGTTTAAATCGTTTACGTAGATTAAAAATAGTAGTGGTCCGAGAATAGAGCCTTGTGGAACACCACAAGTTATGCTCAGGGGTTTACTTTGATAACCATCATTACTATACACAAGTTGCTTTCGATTTGTTAAATAGCTTTCAAACCATTTTAAAATTTTATTGTTTAAACCATAATATTTAATTTTTTGGATTAAGATGTGGTGATCGACCGTATCAAAAGCTTTTGATAGGTCAATAAAGACACCTAGCGTGTATTGAGATTTTTCAAAAGATTTAGAGATGTCATGTATAATCTTCTTTTATAACCTCTTCCTCTAACGATGGATCGATGACCAATACACCTTGGTGTGATGTATATATAGCAATTGCATTATCTCCTCTATATTTTTGCAATTGCTTATCTCCTCTAGTTCTAGTTTTTTTAACAAATTTTTTACAAATCTTCGTTTGGCATTTTAGGCAATTTTCTATATTCAAAATTTTTTTCTCACTTGTTCAGTGTTATTCTGCAGGTACCACATATACTAAACGATTATTTGCTGTTTGCTATGTCAAAATCTAAATTTATATACATTTTAATTTGTTCAGCTATCTTTTCTGTGATTGCAAACTGCTGAGACTTTTATTTAAAATCATTTTTTTCACACATGGTGCACACATTTTTACTCTAGATTCATCATGATTCGCTGATTTGTTGGGCATATCTTAAGTATAATATTCAACACTTATTTTTAAAGACTTAATTTATAATTTTCCAAAAAATAAAGAAGATGTAAAAGACTTTATTTTTAGATGCATAAATAGTATCATAGTTATTACTTCTCACATTTGTTTTTATCTCTATTTATAACTACTTGATAAAAGCTCCAAATTTTATTAATTTAGTTTAAAATAGTTCTTAGCTATTTAGTAATACAAAATTATTATAATTAAAAACCAGAAATACACACAAACGTTTTTAGGAAAAAATAGTCAATTTGAAAGTTATTTAAAAATCTTGGACAAGCAGCTAGGATTTTAATTTCAACAGATTTGTGATGTAAAAAAAGTTCTTAAAGGATCTGGAAACAGTTTTTGTTGACATTTTTATCAATCTTAAATTTGTTGAGGGCCACTGTGAATAGTAAAGTAAAGAAAAAAAAGACAAGATTTTATTTGTCTTGGTTTAATAAAACACATTGATTAGCAAAATCTGGTTTAAGTCATTTTTGCAGTTCTGTAATGATTGCTGCAGCACTTGAAATTGCTCTCCCGAAGGCGTGGAGGAAGCAGTTATACAAAAGTGCATCTTTGCTATCTTTGACAAAACAGGAAAATGGCATAAACTATTTTTTTAAAGTTCAAAAGGACATAAATTTTCCAATACTTTTATAATTCATATTTAAATAATTGACAATTTCATTGTCTATCGATAAAAAATCTTGAGATAAAACTGCTTCATTGAATAACAATGTTTTTTTTTTGATGGAGATATTTGTCTATATGACGATTCTTGGCTACACAACTCAAGACTTGTTATTGTGAACTGCAATGGATAACTTCGGTAAACAACTAAAGAATGAACTTTTTAGTACAGCAACTTTCTTTGCTTTGTTCAAAGTAGATTTAAAAGTAAGAAATCAAAGTAAATAGCTGCTATAATTGTTTTTGAATTTGATGGCAAGATTTGTAATTGCGTGGTTATTTGGTTCTCTTTTAAAGTTAGCAAAGTAATCAGTAATATAATTGAACATGCGGTATATTGTGATCTGCTCAAATTTTTGTAAAATCATGTATTGACTCTAAGAAATCGATTAGCTCGCCAATGTTTCCAGTCCCCAGCTTTATAATAACAAAACTTTATCATCTTTGTTTTCTAGCTTGATTATAACGTCTTTTATTATCTTTGTTCTATCAGAGCCAACGACAACAGAAGGGAGGGGGGAGTACGTGCTAGAAAGAAAATACTATATATAGAAGACTTTTTTTAAGAATTGACAATTCCCTACCCCCCTTCCCCCCGCACTTCGAAACCCGTGACGTTGGTCCTGTCTCAAGCTTGATTATGACGTCTTTTATTTCGACTTGATTGCGTCTTTGATTGATTCGTTAAGTTTAAAAACTAATTGCAACATTAAAAAGGTTAAACTTTACCAAGTAGACACGTTGACTTGTTTTAATTTGTTAACTGAACATTTATCTTCCGGTTTGTAATTTTCATATTATTAAACTCAACTAACTAGCTGAACAGAAAGGTTATTACTATGTTTAAACAAGCCAACTAGTTTGCTACATTTTTTTAAATTATGAAGATACTAGTTTTCTTTAGTTGATGGCTCATTCTCTTTTACAAGAACATTTTTTACAAATAAGTTCAACATATGACAAAAACAAGGTATGCACAATTTATTAATTAGATCTTCTAGACGATGTTTGATATTTGCAACAGTGTCACTATTTGTTGAAAGTAATTTATTTTTCATTCATTTAGAGTTAATTTAATTTGCTTCCCTAAATGCAAGCTAGTAAGAGCTTTAATGCCTTAGCAAGGTTGTGGCAAGGGAGACTCAAGTCTTAAAAGCACTTATTTAAACATAGCGCTTTCTAAGAATTTTATAATCTACTTCACAAAATTTTACAATAAAATTGTCCATAACATCTGCCTATATAGGACATGAAGGTGTACTCTTTAATTACAAAATAATTTTTTTTGAAAATATCCAAAATTTCCGGATAATTTCCCGAGTTAAAAATTTCTGGGAAATTTTCAACCCTAATATATAATATAAATATTATGTAACTGTTTGGCATAATTATGTAATTACATAATCGTGTAATTGATTGGCATTACAAAATATTTAATTTAATTAAACATCAGAATACTTAAAAAATTTAAATGAAACTTAAAAAAAAATTTTCAAAAAATTTTGAACTTTTTTTATCATTTTTACAACAATTAAAGCAATCCTTAATTTTGTGGCGTAGCAACGTTTCCATGTAAAAAGAGGCAGATCTGATCAAACTTTTTTGGGGTGGCACATTTATACAAATTCTCATCTTTTTCGCATCTTTTAACTTTTTATTTTAAAAAGAACATACGAGTTACTATTATGAGAAAAAAATAAAACATAAAATGGCGCTACATACAGTAAACTAAGAGTTAATGCAATAATTTTAAAAGTTAATACAATAATTTAGTTGATTTGAAAAACCCATTAAATGACGCCTATTAAATTTGTAAATACTAAAGAGGTTGGAAAAAAATATCCGTTTGTATTTTGGAACTTTTGCTTACCCGAAGGTACGAAAATGTTGTGAACAAAATTGCGCAATGTTTCTACTCTAATAGAAAGCAGCATTTACAAATATATTGTACTAAAGTGCTGGTTATTAAAAAATGATATTTATAGAAAACTATATATTTCAATAAAGAACGTTTAGATATTAAACAAAATTTTTTGTAATTTTTCTTAAAAACCCTTTTATTTTGTGATTATTATATTTCTAATGCAAAGGTATTGACAGATTTCTAAGAAGTTCCATATTTCCATTTACCAGTTTATAGCCTAAGTTATTTAACATTTCAGAACAATGGATTTCAATGGTATTGACAACACTTATATTTATACTTTTTCTCCAGTTGAATATGTGTGATTTAAGATTTTTTTGTGTATCATAAGGGTTACTGCTTTCATTTTTTGCTTGTTGAATTTTTATGATACGGTCATTAACCTGAGAACTTTCTTTGAGTTGAGTAAAGTTCAAAAGAGCTATAACATTTTGGGTAAGGTTTGTGCATAACTCCTCGTATTTTATCATATAATATACACTTTGATTCATGTGAGCTTGACCAAATTTAACATCTCTTAAAGTTGCTTCACAAAGTTTTGCAGCAACGACAGGTAAGTTAGTACTTTTAAACCATTTCAAATTGACCATAGAATTTAAAGCCGCTCTAGGGTCTCTTATAAGATGTATAAATTTAATAGTATCTTTTAAATTAGCGGAAATGTCTATTAGCCCCCCTGGTAGCCTTTGATGTAATTCTTTTATAATAATGTGATTGCATGTGTTGGTTTTGAATGATTGACTGAAAATTGAGTTAATCTTTGATATAGCTGAAAAAGATAACTCTTTTCTTTTTATTTTGTTAAAACGATGTATTGGTTCATTATAATAAAGCACATCTGGATGACTGTTTAACAAATTTCCCATTAACGTTGAACCTGATCGACCAATCGTCCAAATAAAAACTTTCTTGTTTTCACATTTATTTTTTATTATTTGTGTTGAAACATTTTGATTTTTGTTGCTTACATTTTTTTTTTGGATTTCATTTGTAACGTTTTGTGCCTGCGAATTTTTGTTTGATAGTATTTGATAGAACGTTTTATTTTTATTATTTTGCGTCTTATTTCCTTCATTTTTTTCTACATGCTTTAGATTTTTTCCTGTACCTGTTTTATGCAGTTGTTGTGGTTCTTTCTCGCTCAGTTGTTTATTAATTTTGTGTACTTTTTGCTGTTGGTCACGTGCTGAACGTTTGTAATAATAGTTGCTTTTATAAATCTGATATGATTGTGTGTTTTGTACTTGATTTTCATTACGCCACCAATGCTTTTCTTGTGTTCCATGCAAATTTTTATTTTTAATAAACAAGTTCGTTTCATTACTTCCATTTATTTTTTTAAAAAATGATGTTTGGCTTCTTTCTAAAATTTTTGAATACACCCAATGTATATCGCTAAAGTATAATGCAACTGTAAATGCTACAGTAAAAGTTAGCACTAAAAATAAAGTAAACTTGCTTATACGCATACTTTCATGTTGTCTCATGGTGTTAAAACTAAAATGTTTATAGAAATAAATAGAAGTTTACTTATTGTTTAATAAGATTAGAAAAAATTTCAAAAACTAATAAATATGACTATTCATAACCAATATTAAAATTATTAATTATACTAGCAATTTGCTTGAACTTTAAGCCTTTGATTATGACAACGCAATATGATGTCTGATAACTGAAACGTTATAAAAAACGTTGGCCTATATTTAACGGTTTTGAAGCAATGGACTGGGACTGAAGAAATGAAAAATGCCAATATTGAAACAATATTTATGCGAAATCTTTTCTTTTAACCATTAAAGATTCACCATGAAGCTTACTTGCCTAACTAGTATAGTGAAGCCAGGGATGGCTCTTTTACTTATTTTAATGCAAAAACACAATTTTTGAGGCAAAAACGCGACTTAAAATTTAATTTTAAGCGTAAATTACTTTACATAACTCAAATTAAAATATAAAATTTATAAAATTGTATAAAATATAAAAATTAATTGCTTAAATTAAGTTTTTAAAATGCTGTTACTTAAAGCAGTCGTTACTTAAAACTTGCAAAGTACGGGTCTTGGTAAGTTTATCACACAGACCATTTCTATACTTATTCGTTTCTTCAATATTTTATCGTAAGCGGTAGAAAAATATTTATATTTGTTTGTGTGATTTTACTCGTATAATACGATTAATCGTTAATCTATTATACACAAACCGTTTCTAAATTTATTCTATATACAATCGTTTTATTTCAATAATTTTTAGTAAGAGGTAGAAAAATCATTAAAATCTTTATTTTGAGTTACGATTTGAGTAACGATTAATGTTCGATGCTAAACGATTAACTCTTATCGTAAAATTGTAAACTTCTGTAAAACAAATGGGGACGGCCCTAATAATTTTTTTCTTTATTAAGTCTCCCTTAAAATTTCAAAATATTTTTTTTCAGACCATCTACAACTTGGCCCTGTTAATTAATGTTGAAGAAAATAAAAGTTTGAATGTGTTTAATGTTTGTAAATATTAAATTGTAAAACTTTGTAAAAAATGTAAAATCTTTTTTTCCCATAAGAAAAAAAATGCCTTTTTTGCGTGTTTAACGCGCGAACTTAACTAAATACTCAAGCACAATAAAAACATAAGTATATTTATTGTGACGTATGCACAAAATATTTCTATCGCTGTTTTGATGTTTAAAGAAATTTTAAGTTATTTTGAAAATTCTCTCCCTTCCGTTTGTTATAGTATGCAATATCTTTATATGTTAAGTATATAATATCAATATAACTTTAAAATGTTTTATTTTGTATTTTAGAAAATTAAATAAGATTATAATTTATTATAATCTTATTATTATATTAAATAATAATCGCGCAAGCGACAGGATTTGAACACCTGCGTTGTACTTAAGAAGCGCATCGAGCTATTACTTTTGTCACTAATCATACTAATCAAATTATTTTTAACACTATTTAATAAAGAAAAGACGTATAACTTTATAAGATGGCAAATAAATCCTATAAATAAAATTAAGGCAATGCAATTTTTATGTAAAAGTAAATCTTGATATAATTTTTAACATTATATAGTTTGAAGTAATACATAACATAAAATAATATATATTTACATGTATTACATAGGCATTTGCATGCACTTCATTAACTCATTTACGAAACCAACCATTCCTATACTTATCTGTTCCACACCAATCATTTTTGTACTTATTGCTTATTTACTTCAATATCATTTAGTAAAATAATTCATTCTAAAAAATTGCTTTAAGTTGGCACTGTTGTTTTACGTTAGAGCCGTATTGTAAAACGAGTTCAATTTATTATAATTAATAAGTATATACAAATGCGAAAACACAAAGAAGTATCGTAGATCACAGCTAGTAGTAGAAGAGTTGCTCGAGTCCGTTGTTGTTTGATAGGTTACTTCAAGAGAGCGAGGCTCCAATAAGCATGCTATTTATACATATTCCCAAGGGGAGTGTTAATTGTTTTGTGTAAGTAGCCAATCCAAAAAAAATTACGTTTATGAAGATTTGATTAGCGCAACAAGTACTTCAACATCGGAGAGCGTCATACTGATGATCGATAAAACACGGCTAAGGAAAAAAGAGCTGACGTTTATCGGCTATAAAATTTGAGATGGATGTTCTTAAATCGCTCAATCTATGACTTTAAATACAATAACATTTAATTATTTAATTCTGTTTTAATTTTTTTAATATAAATTCTTTTTGCTTGTTGCTGAATACGTTCAATACGTTTTACGGCCAATTTTCAATAATGTTAAAGGGTTTATTCATTCATTCAGTCTAATATTATTTTTTTACACTAAAACAACCTAGCCCTCTTATATATAAATAAAAAATTATGTTAATAAAGTATATGTTTATATACTATATGTTTATATTCACAATATCAAAGAAAATAAGTACATAAAATAAACAAAGAGTGTAAAGAAACGTCTTGACAAAGAGATAGCGAAGATGTCGGGTCAAAGCTTTTTTGAATAAGTTGTAAAACAAAATTTGTATAACTTACTAAAAAATCAAAGAAATTAACACTAGCATATTCTTTAAAAACGAATCAATTTTATTTAAAGATTCCAAAAGTTGGACAACTAATTGATCAGCATACAGTTTAATTAGCTTCTATTGTTAAAACAAATTTGGACGGAAGTGATCATATTTTCTCCGTTTTTAGATTCAAATATTAAAAAGTAAAAAATAAACTAAAAAGGTAAATAACTGTAGTAAATGAGATGAGGTGACTCAACTACTAGACACGTTGAAAATCTAAAATTTTTACATACTAATCTAATAGAAGGGTGCTTTACCCAAAAATGCTATTTTATTAGACTTTGGTAACATTACGAATACAACTTATTAAGGGCACCAACGTGCTTATTAGATATAGTTAATCTGACACGAACTTTAAATATAGAATAAAATATTTTTTTAGTATTTACTTGTCATTGGAGCACGTAAAGGAACACGTAAGGAAAGCATATGTAACAAAGAATTCTCGTAAAAAGAATGCACGTAAGGAAAGCATATGTAGCAAAGAATTCTCTTAAAGTAATACATAGTCCATTATTACATTATTTGCAGTAAATCCAGTGGAACCCTTGCTTGGTTCCTAACAATTTTTAATTTTGTTTGTTTTCCAAATTAATTTATAAATGCTGCTCTATAAGGATAAGTCATTAGCAACAGAGAAGATAGTTTGATGACCACAAGTGTTTTTTAAAGTATAACACAAAGGGTTTCTATCTATTTTTGGTAAAAGTAAAAATACCAGCTTGTTATATTTAAAACAGTTCTGCTTTATTATTAAACGAAACAAGTTTTGCTCGTGAAAATTGAATATCTAACAGCCATTTGATGTATCTGCTTTTGTTAATTTTATTAATTAAGAGCTTGGCAAATGAATGTAAAAGAGAAATACCTTTGCTCACAACGTCGCATTAAGGCATGCCACATTAAATAAACAAGGATTATTCAACAGTGACATTAAATTTATTTATATTTGCTCCCTCTAAGTAATATCAATTTTTTTTCAAAAGACTGAAATGTTTCCCTTTAATGTTAATAGATGGTTACACAGTCAGCACTACTGGCTATTGAATCAAATACAATTGACGCTCTAATTTTCATTTAGAACTGAACTCTTCACTTTTATATGAGGTGAGAACAAAACCCTTCTGTTCTAAATGAGATAAGAACAGAACTCGAGAATATTGTTAAATTGCAAAAAAAACGGTCAATAATCTAACGGTAATAAGAGCAATAGAAAACTTTGTAGGTTTTCTTAGTTGGTAAAACCTAAAGATGGAAGGGAGATCAAAAACATTGATGTGCAAGGAAAGAAACTAAACGAGTAAAAGTTTTTTAGAGCACGAAGGGACAGACAGTAAAAGGATGCAACTTTGTTAGATAGAAAATAATGGAGAATGAGTTTTGAATGATAGAACTAGAGAAAACAGCTCGTTTAAGTAGCGACTATGTCAGTACTTGTAGAAAAGAAAAATAGGTGCACAATGATTTGTAAAAAAGAAAGAAAAAGATGTAACCTTACGACCATGGGACTGAGGCTCAACCTTGAAGAATAAAAATGGTCTTACTAGATTTGCCGTTTTTGATTGTCAAAAATACATCATCAAACATTAGGAAAGAGTGGGGTGCCATTGATTGTAAGAGAGTAGGTTCTTAGAGTAAAGATAAAATTTCAGAAAGACTTAACAACCTTGCTAATATTAAAAAGAAGACTAATTCAACGGTAGTTAGAGGGGTCAGGGTGTTCTCCGGATGCTCAAAAATGAAACCAAAGATGTCATTTTTAAACATGGAAAGCAAGCTTTAGTCAAGAAGTTATTAAATAGTTTAGAGAGAAGAGTTCTGGAGAGCAGAATATTGTCTGTACCACAGGCTATAGAAAAATTTAGTTAAAAAATAACTTTAGCAACGAAATCCGAAGTGATTTGGATGTCTAAGAATTAGTTAACTTGTTTAACTGGATTGGCAGATAAAGTGTTTTTATTTGATTCAAGCGATGAATTATTGGAAATATTCTTTGTAATGTGTAACTATTGTTAAATAGAAACTAAACATAATCAAACCATTTTATTGTGAACTAGCTTATTTATATAACTCCATTTTAATATATATATATATATATATATATATATATATATATATATATATATATATATATATATATATATATATATATATATATATATATATATATATATACATATATATAATTGAAAATACATCATATACGGTGACAAACAATCTATTTAACTATTAAAATGTGATATTTTGGCTCATATAGTTGGAGCCATTTTCAAACTAAAATACGTTACAAAAAATTCATTATTTACAATAATGATGTCATCGCTTCGTAATATTATAAAAGTTTTTTTTAAATTCAACAAAAAAAGGTTTCCAATGGTGAGTCGTCACTAGGTTGCCATTATCTCGGTTTAGAATTTTATTTTTTAAATAGTAACATTGCAATCTGTCTATTTTAATTGCCTCCTTGATTTTTCCCTGATTTTGCT